AGAAAATAACATTGATTGTTTGTTCTTTAATGCCGTTGTAAGTAACTGAGTCTAGGCCAGATAATCCAGTGATGCGATTAAACATCAATCTGGGATAACAAAATACAACTTGGATACCATGATATGTGATAACTGAGGCACCGATCTGACGATCTCATCAGTTTGCTTTCTTCTTTTGCATGAGTTTAGGATTATCTGAAATATTTCTAGAACCTTCTCCATTTAGATCAGTTTGAACACAAGTGGATGTCAGATATATCCAGTTCGCTACCTTATCTGGACCGTAAAACCAAATACTTGAATAAACGTCTTTATCTTTACAAAAACGTTTACCTCTCTTACATTCAGAACTTCTATTAATAATCTGCAAATATGAATAACTTCATACCACCCGTGAAGGTGTGAGGCTCTAAAGCCAAGAGATCTTCATTATATTCCAATTATATGTTAGAGGTGGCCGAGTATTTCTACATTCTCCAGACCGATGACTCCATCAGCATTAAAACATCTCTTCAAAATACGGTGTGATCACCTGTTGTTTTAAGAGATTAGCATGTCCAGTGACCTGGAACCTTTAAACAATACCGGCGAAACATTATTATCGCTGGATGAAGGGAAGTAACTCTGAGCAGATGCAGAGGCACGGAAAGGTACCCTTTGTGCCTTTTCGTAGCTCACCTGACCGGTTCTGGAATACCATACTGTCTAAACACCCAAAACATTGCACGCAGATCATATTCTCCGAAAACCCGAAAATTACACGTGGATCATACTCGGCGAACACCTGAAACATTGCACGTGACACATACTCTCAGAAACACGAAACATTGCACGTGGATCTTACTGACCAAACACCTGAAATAGTGCACGTGGATCGCACTCTCCAAAAACCCGAAACACTGCACGTGGCTTATACTCTCCGAAACACTGCACGTGGTTTATACTCTACAAACACCTGAAACATTGCACGTGGATCATACTCTCCGAAACCCGAAACACTGCACGTGGATCATACTCTACAAACACCTGAAACATTGCACGTGGATCATACTCTCCGAAACACTGCACGTGGTTTATACTCTCCGAAACCCGACACATTGCACGTGGATCATAATCTCCAAACATCTGAAACATTGCACGTGGATCATGCTCCCCGAACACCTGAAACAATGCACGTGGATCATACTCTCCGAAACCCGAAACATAACACGTGCACCACACACTCCAAACACCGGAAATATTGCACGTGGCTCATATTATCCGAAAACCCGAAAATTGCACATGCATCATACTCGGCGAACACCTGAAACAATGCGTGGATCATACTCTACAAACACCTGAAACATCGCACGTGGACCATGCTCCCCGAACACCTGAAACAATGCACGTGGATCATACTCTCCGAAAACCTGAAACATTGCACTTGGTTCAGACTCTCCAAACACCCGAAACTCTGCACGTGGATCATACTCTCCGAAACCCGAAACATAACACGTGCACCACACACTCCAAACACCGGAAATATTGCACGTGGCTCATATTATCCGAAAACCCGAAAATTGCACGTGGATCATACTCGGCGAACACCTGAAACATTGCACGTGGCTCATACTCTCCGAACACCTGAATTCTTGCACGTGGATCATACTCTCTGGACACCTTAAACATTGTACGTGTATCACACTCTGCAAACACCCGAAACATAACACGTGGATCATACTCTCCAAAAACCTGAAACATTGCACGTGGATCGTGTTCTCCAAAAAACTGAAACATTGCACGTGGACCCTACTCTACAGTAACGTAAAACGAGGATCGTACTATCCCAAAAAAAACACCTTATTGTGTGTGTGTGTGTGTGCGCGCGCGCGCGTGTGTTTGTGGTTGGTTACATTGTGTTATCATTGCATATCCCCTGGCGTGCTTTCTTCCGTGTGAAGTTTAAAGTGTCTGTAGTAATGCACTTACACGCACTGACAACATTGTATTGGTGTGTGGCAAACCTCAACAGTGACGCGCAGACAAACATACAACACCAGGGGGAGGATAAGGGTTGAGTCTGTAGTATTTAGATACGGGGGTATGTGTACATTTGTGACAAACAAGACCATTAGAGTTATTGATTGACAGAAAATAGACTTGCATGTATTGAGTGTTTGAGCAAGACATGTCGCTACATGGTTGTGTGATACCTGCAGGTGTCGGGGGAGACGTTACCTGGACTGTAAGTATTAATTTTACTTTTGGTTCAGTGCAGCAGAGGCGGGCCATACAGTAACACCTTTGATGGAAAGGTCTTACACTTATCAATCTGAGTGAAGTCAATTTGTGAATAACACTGTTATAAAGACAATCATGAGGTACTTGAGAGATATACAAATGACTCATCAACAATGTATCTCTTCATTATGTCGGCTTTCATAATGTTAGTCAGTATCCCGGTATCAGGGGTTTTCGACGATGTAAGACAAAAACGTAATTTTTATCTGTAATATCATTTGAAGTTTTAATTTTACTAACCTTGGGTGATAAAGGATATATTCATCTATTTCACACAAAAATATCAAGTGTTTCCTACAAAAATAAGGTTGATGACATCGCATCGGCGAAACTGTTGCTGTTCGCCACATCCGTGGATTTTGTATGGGTTTTCGACGATGAGCCATACTTTTCGCTCCGCACTGCGAGGGAGTGTTGTGATAAAGTGGCTTTCTATTTATATATTGCCTGTCACCTGCAGACGAATGATCTTACTGAATTTTCGCTTGCTATTTTTTGTTATAAAGGCAATTGATTTTGCATCTGAAGTGGTATCAACGATCTCGGGTAAATAATATTGATGTTTGTTTGCTTTTTAAATAACTTAACTTCCGGTTTTCAATTGTCAATACAACTTCTCACGACAGTGACTGGGCATCCGCCCTGCCGATGAAACTACTTGTGCTCACCGATCGCGCACGTACTCCCCCGATATAGCGCCAGCAACGCTTTGGGATACAACATTCCAGATTACAAATGTTGTTCCCAGGTATGAGATCTGCAGCATATGGGGAGCTTATTCTTGTCATACTGGCGAGGATGTATTACGTGTGGGTAAGCTGTGAAGTGCACATGGTATTATCAAATTTGAGAAACGCGATCTTTCTTGCACTTCTATAAGTCCTGATATTACTGCATTGTAATGCAAACAGCTTTGGCGTTAATCGTACACAGGTTATGAAAGGATACCGGCTTATTGGCTGCAGGGGAAAATGCGTACTTCTATAGGCTGCACGGACAGCCCGGCAAAGACACATTTGAGAAAAAGAACAGGCTGAACTTCGTGTGGCGTTCCCGGCAAAGGACACGGATGAACAACGGGGGAATGTGGCTTTGGCGGCAATGCTATCACGACATTGTAAGCCCCGGAATAGGGTACCGTATTTAACATAGAACAGCAAAGATATAGATCATTTATTTTCAGTTTTATTCACTGGAGGATTCACAATCATAACAAACATAGTATAGTAACACTCACATAACTCATATTTAATTCACACCATCATCAATTCTCATAATTAATTCTCAGCATCAATCACAAGCATACACATAGTATGGCCTGGTATAGTTCATTCTAAATGGAGCGGGTCGGCGACGTGGTCACAGGCTCTGAGTGTCTTTGCGAGGATTAAAGATTTTATAAAATATATACCAACATTTGAGATGATTTCGACTCGAAATGCTTCACACTATATGATGTATTGTACTGTGAAACATTTCGAGTCGGGGATCATCTCAAAAACAATATATTTTTAATCATTAATCCTCGCAAAAACACGAGAGCCTGTGACCACGTCGCCGACCCGCTCCATTTAGAATGAACTATACAAGGCTATACTATGTGTATGCTTGTGGTCTGCATACTCTACATCAGTCAAATGTTGATTTGCCAACTGCGTCTTCAGCGACCTTAGTCGGCTGACAATATTTCTATATTTCTTGCGTCTTGAAGCGGCTCATGACTTCAACTTCCATAACTGATTGTTCGCGTTTGAACAGTTTGACAATCTCAAAAAATGTTGGGGTGGCACTTTCGGGCTAACTGGTTGCTCTTGTGATGCCAACCCTCAAGGTTGTTATTAGTCCGATGGCCATCATTCCCAGAGTGGTTCCACATGTCCATGGTGAAACATCATTTGAGATCTTCTTAAACCGACCTATATATCAGGGGCGTTTTTTAACTAGTCGGTAACTCTCTACTTGGTTTGCGTATTGAAAATATGGCTTTGCCGGCAATTCCCCTTCAAAATGAAATGTGGCTTTGCCGGCAAAATGATTTTTTGAAATGTGGCTTTCCTGGGCGGACAGCCTCAAATTACGTTTGTATGTAAAATAACATTCAAAGCTATCCAAAACAGTAATACAGTAAACTACGTTAATGACGAACACGCTCATAACAAACTGACAGATTTAACGAACTTTGTTCTGTGTGCCGGATATTTATTCATGTACAATTCATGGATATAACGGACAAACTTATAACGGGTAAAGCGGACTCACTTTGTGTTCCCATGTGCCATCTTTCAACGAAACGGGCGGTGGGGTAGTCTAGTGGTTAAAGCGTTCGTTCGTCATGCCGAAGACCCGGGTTCGATTCCCCACATGGCTACAATGTGTGAAGCCCATTACTGGTGTGAAATCTGTGTGGTTGAATAACATGCACACATTTGTACCATCGTCCCTAGCTTTTTCTTGTGCCACGCGTTCGTGGATGTTAAACATACTTCTAACAGGCAACGGCCCTATTACAACCGCCCATATATGAACTCAACGACAGTGAGATACGTGCAGGTAATATTTATTCGGAAGACTTACCAATGTTGCAAGCACACATTACTATACATCCGCAGACTTTCATGTGATTGTGAGTGTCACTATAGATAAGAAGTAGATGACATTTACTCTGTGTCAGTGGTCACTGGGGGACAGGTCCACGTCATCAGTAACATGTCATCAATGGCCTAAAGGTAACCAGGGGAGAATTTAGTCTTCTTACCTACAGTGAGGTAATAACATTGTCATGAAGCAGACTAGGATCAGAATCACTGGCTGACAGGCCCGAGATATGTTTCGAGAAATGTACATGGATCTTTCAAATTGTTTATTGGGATGGTTGTTAAATGTCATCAGAAAAAGAAAATCCACTTAAAAGCTCCTGTATAGCAAACTGACTGATAGTACTGTAACCTCTAGTCTCTTAAACACATCTAATCAATCAATGATAAACGCAACATGTACCTTATGCTAAGAAGGGGAGATTTGACCTTTTATATGATAACAAGAATCAAACGGTATAGCTCTACCATAATAACACACACAAAGGCAACACTGCAAACTGATACAGATTTTGATTCGAACAAAGGGTATACAAAAACAACCAAATAACAAAACAAATTACTTGTATGGTAAATATCTGTGAACTCAAGTCATTTTAAAGATTTACAATTTAGTATACTTTGATTTGCTGTAAACATGGCAGAACGCAGTTTCAAACTGGGTGTGTCGGTCAGCGTGGAATGGTCGTTTACTGGATGACGAAAAACGTGACAACAGTCAGAGAGAGCAGGTATGCTGAAATTGTCGCCGTACCTCCAGCTGAAACAGAGAAGTGAACCGATTATCGTTCATGTATGAAACAGATGTATATTATGTGAAATATATCTGTATCTACCATCGGTAACAACTTTTCCACTTTCATCTTCCCCAGTTCCAGGAGAACAAGTTCAAATGATTGTGGAAGTTGTTTCCTTTGCATAACTCAAAGGCCTTATCAAACTTTTAAAATACATAAATCCAGATATAAACAGGTACATGTATACTTCTAGAATTTAAAAAATGAAATTGCTTTCTTAACATAACAGAAAAAATAACATTACGTTCAAGTGAACGAAGAGGATAACACAACAACTACTGGTGTTTTTACATGTACCTTTTCTCAGTTGTTACTTTATATTTTTGGAAATGTTTATCGATTATTAATATTGTCAATTCGGTTGAAACAGAAGACTGATGTGTATATGATAATAACCTTTCTTATGAGTGATCGCACTCTCCCGCTATTTAAGTGTTAAAGGTACAGCCAGACAACAGTATACACATAAACATTGATTAGAACAAGTAACCGGAAGCTCTTTTTCAGTGCTTGAATCACGGATATCAGTGGTGAGGGGTATTCAAGATTGTTACATGTAACTCGTCAACAAGTTTCGTTAAAACTCTTTAATATCTATAAACACTATGACGTTTAAACTTCGACTTATTCTATTCGGGTTGGATAACATATATTTAATCTACGAAAGTATTCCATAATTATAGTACACCAAAGGAAGAGGACAACCAGTCTCTATTATTGCAGAAAGAAACATTGTACGATTCCAGCTCTAATCACGTGCCACTATTAAATAACGATCATACCTGGTGTTCGCAAAAACGTTTGAGTATCCTACACAATCGATTACGGCAGTCACAAACACACGCAAGTGCAAGTCAATTGTTCACAATTAGAACATGGAAATTGCATCGGACACCATTTTGGTACTAAACCATTACTAGAATCTTCCTCACTATTTCTACACTAAGAATTGTTTGAGAACGTTAGGAAGGTTGTGGATCAAACCCTGATCAAATAACTTTGACGTTGTTTGAAGATTTCATAGATTTAATCCTTTCACAAATGTTTCCTCACCATTTTGACAGGTGGCTCCTTTGTAACCGCTTGCACAAGTACACGTGGTGGAGTCTTGCTTGTTTCGCATTTTCCTCCATTGAGGCATTTCTTTCCCATCCTTAGAACACACTCCCTCTGGAAAATGAGGAAACATAATTGTTGGACTGAAAATTAAATTCGAAATTCGAAACAGTGAAAAAATATATACTTGTAACACGAGGTTCGGTATGTTTGTGGATGAACAAAACGGACAATATGACATCATATTTATCAGACATATATTGGTCATTCCTTTCCATATCTCATTAAGAGATACCACGACACATTTGTTATTCTATAGCTTTTCCACTACCTCCACCTCCGCCACAGCGGTTACCACTGCTGCAACCATTATTGCTGCTGCTACCATTGCCATTGCTGCCGCTATTACTACATTTGCTGCTATTACTACCACTGCTAGCTGGTATTACTTCTGCTACTACTACTTACACTGCCACTGCTGATTCTATCATTACTACTGCTACTACCATTACGATGTTACTGCTGCTGCTATTACTACTCAATTGATTCTCCTGCTATTACTACCACTATTACTATTGCTACTGCTGCAGTTAATATCTCCGCCCATACAAATAATACTGCAGATGCTACTAATCCTACAACTAATGTCACACATCACATGCAATTATACCAATATTAATCAGACTAACTGCACCTAAATATTTTTATGATTATCAAAAACAATACGTACATGTTGATATCAAATCGGAGTAACCACGTGTTAGTCTCGTCTATTTTTACCTGTGCAAGTGTTTCCATCTCCAGCATAGCCAGGCTTGCATGTACAGTTGTAGGATCCAGGTAGGATCCGAAAGTTTATTATTACAGATTTGATTTGGGGGAGAATGGAATCAACAAAAACAAATTGTTTAAGCATCCTTGGTATTGCAACTGAGAGATAGGTAAAAAATTCCTACCTCAGAAGAAGTGATTAGAGTGAAGGCAAAGACACCATTATACGTCACAACGAATGCAAAGGCCATCTTGGAGGTTTGATGATGCCGTAGCGCCGTCTGGACCTGAGAAAATGCTGTTTAAAATATGCTAAAAGTTTGATAAATACTAATAATTAATAGTTAGGTGTACACATCGTTAAATTGTTATACAGAATTCACACCTTTCCTATGGAATTAGACACAGTTTCTTTGTCTCAACTTTAAACTCTCTTGTGAATGTTTGACAAATCCTTCAGCGATTTAGAACACATTCAATTCTAACTACTGGTGTTTTTACATGTACCTTATCTCAGTTGTTACTTTATATTTTTGGAAATGTTTATCGATTATTAATATTGTCAATTCGGTTGAAACAGAAGACTGATGTGTATATGATAATAACCTTTCTTATAAGTGATCTCACTCTCCCGCTATTTAAGTGTTAAAGGTAGAGTCAGACAACAGTATACACATAAACATTGATTAGAACAAGTAACCGGAAGCTCTTTTTCAGTGCTTGAATCACGGATATCAGTGGTGAGGGGTATTCAAGATTGTTACATGTAACTCGTCAACAAGTTTTCATTAAAACTCTTTAATATCTATAAACACTATGACGTTTAAACTTCGACTTATTCTATTCGGGTTGGATAACATATATTTAATCTACGAAATTATAGTACACCAAAGGAAGAGGACAACCAGTCTCTATTATTGCAGAAAGAAACATTGTACGATTCCAGCTCTAATCACGTGCCACTATTTAATAACGATCATACCTATTGTTCGCAAAAACGTTTGAGTATCCTACACAATCGATTACGGCAGTCACAAACACACGCAAGTGCAAGTCAATTGTTCACAATTAGAACATGGAAATTGCATCGGACACCATTTTAGTACTAAACCATTACTAGAATCTTCCTCACTATTTCTACACTAAGAATTTTTGAGAACGTTAGGAAGGTTGTGGATCAAACCCTGATCAAATAACTTTGACGTTGTTTGAAGATTTCATAGATTTAATGCTCTTCCCAAATGTTTCCTCACCATTTTGACAGGTGGCTCCTTTGTAACCGCTTGCACAAGTACACGTGGTGGGAGTCTTGCTTGTTTCGCATTTTCCTCCATTGAGGCATTCTTTCCCATACTTAGAACACACTCCCTCTGGAAAATGAGGAAACTTAATTGTTGGACTGAAAATTAAATTCGAAATTCGAAACAGTGGAAATATATACTTGTAACACGAGGTTCGGTATGTTTGTGGATGAACAAAAACGGACAATATGACATCATATTTATCGGACATATATTGGTCATTCCTTTCGATATCTCATTAAGAGATACCACGACACATTTGTTATTCTATAGCTTTTCCACTACCTCCACCTCCGCCACAGCCGTTACCACTGCTGCAACCATTATTGCTGCTGCTACCATTGCCATTGCTGCCGCTATTACTACATTTGCTGCTATTACTACCACTGCTAGCTGGTATTACTTCTGCCACTACTACTTGCACTGCCACTGCTGATTCTATCATTACTACTGCTACTACCATTACGATGTTACTGCTGCTGCTATTACTAATCAAGTGATTCTCCTGCTATTACTACCACTATTACTATTACTACTGCTGCAGTTAATATCTCCGCCCTTACAAATAATACTGCAGATGCTACTAATCCTACAACTAATGTCACACATCACATGCAGTTATACAAATATTAATCAGATTAACTGCACCTAAATATTTTTATGATTATCAAAAAACAGTAAGTAGATATTGATATCAAATCGGAGTAACCACGTGTTAGTCTCGTCTATTTTTACCTGTACAAGTGTTTCCATCTCCAGCATAGCCAGGCTTGCATGTGCAGTTGTAGGATCCAGGTAGGATCCGAAAGTTTATTATTACAGATTTGATTTGGGGGAGAATGGAATCAACAAAAACAAATTGTTTAAGCATCCTTGGTATTGCAACTGAGAGATAGGTAAAAAATTCCTACCTCAGAAGAAGTGATTAGAGTGAAGGCAAACACACCATTATACGTCACAACGAATGCAAAGGCCATCTTGGTGGTTTGATGATGCAGTAGCGCCTTTTCGGACCTGAGAAAATGCTGTTTAAAATATGCTAAAAGTTTGATAAATACTAATAATTCATAGTTAGGTGAACACATCGTTAAATTGTTATACAGAATTCACACCTTTCCTATGGAATTAGAAACAGTTTCTTTGTCTCAACGTTAAACTCTCTTGTGAATGTTTGACAAATCCTTCAGCGATTTAGAACACATTCAATTCTAACTACTGGTGTTTTTACATGTACCTTATCTCAGTTGTTACTTTATATTTTTGGAAATGTTTATCGATTATTAATATTGTCAATTCGGTTGAAACAGAAGACTGATGTGTATATGATAATAACCTTTCTTATGAGTGATCTCACTCTCCCGCTATTTAAGTGTTAAAGGTACAGCCAGACAACAGTATACACATAAACATTGATTAGAACAAGTAACCGGAAGCTCTTTTTCAGTGCTTGAATCACGGATATCAGTGGTGAGGGGTATTCAAGATTGTTACATGTAACTCGTCAACAAGTTTTCATTAAAACTCTTTAATATCTATAAACACTATGACGTTTAAACTTCGACTTATTCTATTCGGGTTGGATAACATATATTTAATCTACGAAATTATAGTACACCAAAGGAAGAGGACAACCAGTCTCTATTATTGCAGAAAGAAACATTGTACGATTCCAGCTCTAATCACGTGCCAATATTAAATAACGATCATACCTGGTGTTCGCAAAAACGTTTGAGTATCCTACACAATCGATTACGGCAGTCACAAACACACGCAAGTGCAAGTCAATTGTTCACAATTAGAACATGGAAATTGCATCGGACACCATTTTGGTACTAAACCATTACTAGAATCTTCCTCACTATTTCTACACTAAGAATTGTTTGAGAACGTTAGGAAGGTTGTGGATCAAACCCTGATCAAATAACTTTGACGTTGTTTGAAGATTTCATAGATTTAATGCTCTTTACAAATGTTTCCTCACCATTTTGACAGATTGGCTCCTTTGTAACCGCTTGCACAAGTACACGTGGTGGGAGTCTTGCTTGTTTCGCATTTTCCTCCATTGAGGCATTCTTTCCCATCCTTAGAACACACTCCCTCTGGAAAATGAGGAAACATAATTGTTGGACTGAAAATTAATTCGAAATTCGAAACAGTGAAAATATACTACTTGTAACTACGAGGTTACGATGTTTGTGGATGAACAAACACGGACAATATGACATCATATTTATCGGACATATATTGGTCATTCCTTTCGATATCTCATTAAGAGATACCACGACACATTTGTTATTCTATAGCTTTTCACTACCTCCACCTCCGCCACAGCCGTTACCACTGCTGAAACCATTATTGCTGCTGCTACCATTGCCATTGCTGCCGCTATTACTACATTTGCTGCTATTAATACCACTGCTAGCTGGTATTATGCTACTACTACTTACACTGCCACTGCTGATTCTATCATTACTACTGCTACTACCATTACGATGTCACTGCTGCTGCTATTACTACTCAAGTGATTCTCCTGCAATTACTACCACTATTACAATTACTACTGCTGCAGTTAATATCTCCGCCCATACAAATAATACTGCAGATGCTACTAATCCTACAATAATTCACACATTACATGCAATTATACCAATATTAATCAGACTAATACCTAAATATTTTTATGATTATCAAAACAATACGTAGATATTGATATCAAATCGGAGTAACCACGTGTTGGTCTCGTCTATTTTTACCTGTGCAAGTGTTTCCATCTCCAGCATAGCCAGGCTTGCATGTACAGTTGTAGGATCCAGGTGTATTTGTACAGTCAGCGTGTTCATCACAGGGAGCATGGGAGGTTTTACATTCATTTGTCTCTGTTGTAGTGAATACGTCGACACAAATGTACTTTGATGTAATGAAACTTGTATAATAGAACATTTACACACACACTGATTCACTCTCTCCCTAGAACCCCCAGGGGACATAAAGGTATCTCTCTTTAACAATGCACTCGTCTCCATTAATACTGATGAATACTTAGAAAAGAACGTGCACACAGAGCTTTCATATAATACAATGTGCAAATATTACGAGTGTGCATGGTTGAAATAATAAACAAGAAGTGTTGGAAATGCAATTTTACATGATTTTAACTTAATATGATCCTGGTATCGTCACACATTTGTGGCAGAAATTGTGTACGAGGACACAAACTCGAAAGTTTATTATTACAGATTTGATTTGGGGGAGAATGGAATCAACAAAATCAAATTGTTTAAGCATCCTTGGTATTGCAAATGAGAGATAGTTAAAAAATTCCTACCTCAGAATAAGTGATTAGAGTGAAGGCAAACACACCATTATACGTCACAACGAATACAAAGGCCATCTTGGTGGTTTGATGATGCAGTAGCGATTCAAAACACATTCAACTCTAACTATTGATTTATTTAATTGACTTCGATTCACTTCTTGCATCACTCATACTAAGACGTAGATTCGACATACTAACCGCACGGTGTCCTGTTTAAATCCCATAGCTACATTTCCAGCTAAATGTAACGGATTAGTTTAAATAAATTTGTTGAAATGTGTTGACATATTTCTACTCATTAACCATCGTCACAGGTTTCCCCTGTATATCCAGTACCGATACAGTTACATGTTTTTGTAGCCGTTATGCATTTTCCTGAATGATGGCAATCATCCGGAACCGTACATCCATAGACGCCATCAAGTACTGCCCAGCATGACAAAACTGAGAAAAGGGAAAAAATTGTGACATTTCCAGCATTATTGTTTTATTTGCATATTTCCATAAAGTGTTACATAAATACAACATTGTTACTAATTTTATGTAAGAGTACGTAATAATCATTCCACAATTAACATTTCTATCAGTGCATAATTTTATCGTAAATGTACATTACTCAATCGTTTCTTGTACCCTACAGTTATCATTAAAGAATGGAAAGGAAATAACTTTTCATGATGACTAACTTACCCAGTAAAGGTAAGGAAATAGGAACTCTGAAAAGCTGCATGTTCTTCGCCTTCTTGTCAACTCTCGAATGTCCCATGCCCATATATACCATGATGTTGTCATAGTGACCAATGTCATGCATGTGTATTGGCGATGGGCGAGGGTGGAGATATACAAATAAGAACTGGGGCACATACTAGGCTGTTTAGGGCTTTCTGTTTTCACGATTTCGTACTGTATTGCTGCTTTAATATTTTATCTGTGCCCGACATGTAGCTGAACTGTTTGTTTTTTTCTCAAGCCAGACATAGCTTTACCTCGATCCGCAAAACTTTAACGTTTCTTAAAGTCTGTCATATGCTGAGGCATAACTGCTACTGTCTGTCAGCAAGGAGATGATATGCAATATATTAAGCCTGAATAAATTTGGTGAGGGAAAACGTTCAAATTACTGCGGGAGAATCGATTGCATAGAATTATTAGCCTGATGTGCAGTTATCGTAATTTACAATACAGTGTAATTTCGAGTAATGTAAAAGGCTCTGTGTCTTTGAATACCTCGAAAAGATAAAGATGTGGGTGGTGGCACATATTCATACTCACATATGATTTGTCAGGGTTTTCAAATCTGAATAAGAAGAAATTAAACATGAATATAAATCGAACATATCACTATTAAACTAACAAATACGTCAACTCCCCAGTCCTTGCTGTAATTTGGTCACCTGGAATATCTGGAGCCAACTATGGGTGTGAAGGTGAAGTGTTGTGATTACATATTATTGAAATACAAGTAATATTTATTCCCGAAATACCATTAGTGATATCACTAGCAGTGGTCCCATTGCAGGTACAGCATAACAGAGTGTGCTTTCACAATTCGTGGACAAAGTATTCTTTGTGAGATTTGTGGTAGATGCAAGGCTTATTTTATTAGTTATGTGTGTGGTTTCAACAAATACATGTATCAATGATAAAATGATCTATAAACATATTATTGGGACAAAGCGGTAATCGTATAGGGACTCTCATCAAAGAACAGTCAGTCTCGACTAGAGTTCTTGAGTTCTTAACTTTGACCTTTCCCCCGCAATCTCTATTAGGTTAGAGGCCACATGTTGCTGATATGAAATTTGCTAACAAGGGAATTGGTACCTTAAATTTAAGAACCATTCTCAGACAAAAATCAGCACCCTCAAATATCTGACAATGTTTCAAATTTCAGGTACCACAAACAGCATCACTGTACCCAACGTGTCTCCGGACATGGATCACATGGTGTAAAGTCAGTTAATTGTGTTCTGCCAAAATGCAGCATCCAGCCATGGACCTTTTGGTCACACACAATGAATGGTGACTTGATGCTGTCGTCAGTTATTCAGATATGGATTTTATGTTTATTTTGAAACATCTTGTAGGCTTTATGAGTCAATGAAATATAGCGAAAATGCACTCGGGGAATGCAGACTTATCCGTCTTTGGCGCCAACTTGAGGAAAGTCAGTTTGAGTGTCACATGGAGACGTGTGGTGGCGCTGAAGTCAATACCTCGTGTGACCACCGTGGGCATCCAGAACTGCATGGCATCGCCTCGGCAACGAACGAATAAGTCTCAGAATCTCGTGTTGCCCAATCGCAGCCCACTCTGCCTGTAGTGCCTGTGCGATTTGCTGAAGTGTCTGGGGCTGAGGGTTACGGCGTCGCATCCGTCTGTCCAGGGCATCCCACAGATGTTCAATCGGGTTTAAGTCCGGTATCTTGAGGGCCAGGGGAGCACATTGATGTTGTGGTTCTGGAGGAAGTCTCTAGTGTGACGTGTTGTGTGGGGTCTGGCACTGTTCTGTTGAAACAACTCCCTCTGGCGATCAATGATTGGAAGGAGGTGTGGGCGTAGGATTTCGTCACAGTACCGTTGAGCTGTCAGGTTGCCCTGGATCATCACCAAATCACTTCTCCTACGGCAGGTGATCGCTCCCTGTGATCATCACTGAACCAGATTCTACGCCAATTCGGTAGGTTCCAGGCCTGAACGTTGGTGCACCATTGAACTCGACGATGTTTTTGTGGAAGAACAGGGCCAAAATAAGGTGTTCTGGCACATAAACCAGCCTCTCTCAACCTGTTCCTGGCGGTCTGTGCAGAAAGCCTCCTCAATCCGGGTATTTGTCGAGCGGTACTGGTCGCCGTAGCTGTTCGATGACGCAGGTGATGTTCCCGGATGTAGCGATCCTGCGCTGCAGTGGTCGCTCGAGGTCGCCCACTACGAGGGCATCTGCTACCGAATTCTGCCGGCGATATCTCCCAGAGCCGTGAAATGGTGCTTTGGTGAACATTCATGCGTCGGGCAACTGCACGTTGAGACTGGCCAGCTTCAAGCAAATTAATGGCGATATGACGATTGGCTTCACTTAGACGTGGCATTTTGCGTTCGTCAACAATATTCCAAATACAGACAGACAGAGATCAACCGTTTATTCCCATCATTGAGACTATCTGATCCCCAACTTGCATGTGAATTGTGTATGCTGTGACACTACATGCCGAAATTGAAAATCATGCTGTTAAATACGGGTATTTTACGGATGGTGCGTTTTGTTGTGATGTTTCCAAACATAAACACCATAGGACTCATAAACAGAGCAAAACCTTTTGTAAAATGAATCACGTTATAATTCATTGCTACATGAAATTGCTATTTTCATTATGCGTTTCTTTTGGGAGAGAATATATATATATATATATATATATATATATATATATATATATATATATATATATATATATATATATATATATATATATATATATGTATATATATTGGTGTAGATATTACAATATTTGTTCGTAGAGAAAAGATGTGTGTGCACAGCTAAGTGAGGACGTATCTAGACATACTGGTCCTGTCATTAAATCACCGATTTTTGCAAGTGAGGATGAACTCACGAGGTAAGATCGACGTACATTTACCATGCTCATGGTGCTCTAGCTCTGATATGCGATTGGTATCCAAAGGCATATCTCATTGATAAGAAAGTGTCAATCTTCTTGATTAACAGCATCGACAAGACTTAATGGCAGAAAAAGATATAGCTACGCAAATCTTGATGTAAGAATATATATCTTTGGTCCCCACGAAACAGCAATGTAACAGAAAGCGACCAAGTTCAAGTAATCAATACCTTCCCTGTTAAAGAAACATGTTGAGACCAGTGACAAGATTATGAAAGTACCGGTACTTCAGACAGGATTAAAGGAGAATACAAGAACACGTCTAGATGAATTCTCACCACGCTAAAATTATTTTATCCATCATTGTTTCGTCCTACATTTTCCAAGTTGAATATTGTGTGGAATATTGAAACATGATGAAAGGGATATCTGCATCCTAATGAAACTTTGCATGTAACTTAGAATTATACTTCTGTTTTGAGTGACCTTGAAAAGTTGACGGTCTAGATGCGTTATATATTAGACGTTATTCATAGTTAAGATGCATGCAAAGACAACCAATAACGTCCTCGTTAATCAACCACCAGCCCATGTCACATCACTTAATACCTTCACCAAGGAGTTTCAGGTTATTTTTTTTGAATATCTACACATACCAAACACTGTATTTTCTGAAAAGCAAATTTACTTTGCCTGAATTATTGTCTTTTAGCATAGAAAAGATTTAGAACATTGAGTACAATGCAGGAAGTCACGAATTGAAGTGTGTCCATAGTCTGTGAAAGTGTCACGAATTGAGGTAAGAAGGAGGCATCCTCATATAATGTGAATGTATTCAAAGGCTGTCAATGGCGACCAATAATAACCAACCTAAAACATCCCCATAACCCTGTCAAGCAAAGTACAGGAACTTCGATGAACTAATATACTTCAACAAATTGTATTAAATAATGCTATTGTACATATGTTCCCAATTAATTTGAAAAGAAATCCCCATTACGAGTAGTACATGTTCAGAAAGACTATCCCTCAAGCCCCAAAGTCCGATCTGGCGGAAATTGTCTTCCATTAACTTCACTGCCCATTGCTGATCAAATAGTCCAACTGACTTTGGAACCGAACTGATGTTTTCCTGGAAAGACGCTATTATGAAGCTGAACACTGAGAGACTCATTTGTGTAATACAACGGTGAGTACCATGCCGGTTGTAGGTTGAACATACCTGTAGATAACGTCCCAATCCACCAAAACGATAGTTTTTGCTGTGACCGTGTATAGTATGATGATTTACGCTTGCTAAAGTATACTAAGCAGCAACAGAAACGTCAGTTTTTGAATTTTCCTTAGCAGAAACGGATAAATGTTAACTCATTTAATGCTTTGATTGTATATTTTTGACAACATCTCCGACTTTACTTGAGCATAGACATTTCTTCCCTAATGGAACCCAGGAAATCGTTTCATAAACGCAACCTGATCTCGGAGATGGTACGGTGTTCTCCATGTTTTTCATGCAACTCATGCTGCACGTGCTGTTCACAAGGACCAGCCCTATAAAATGCACCCCCAAACCTGGTTGAAACATTCACATCACAAGGATGGATGTCGCGACTCACGACAGCTCGAGAGGAACCAGGCGCTAGGAAGACTTGAAGCTGGCCACACTGCACAAGCCGTTGCCAATCACTTCCAGGTCAACGTTCGGACCATTTACAGGCTGCAGCAACGTTTCCGGGCCACCAACACCACAAATGCTCGTCCCCGTACTGGCAGACCAAGGGTGACCACAAGACGACAAGACCGCCATGTTGTGCGACAGCATGTACATAATCCCTTCATGCAGGCATCCGAAACAGCACGCCAGACAGTGGGAACACACGGAAGACCAATCAGTACTGATACAGTACGCCGACGTCTTAACAGAGGGAACCTCCATCGCCGTAGACCTTACCGTGGACCTATCCTCACCCCTCGTCATTGGCGTGAACGTCTACAGTTTGCCCTACAACACCAAAACTGGCGATACAGGCAATGGAGAACTGTTCTATTCACAGATGAGAGTCGGTACTGCGTATCAACTGCAGATGGCAGAACAAGAATATGGCGATGACGTGGCCAGCGTTACTCAGACCAATATGATATGGAAAGAGACTCATGGGGAGGTGGAAGCATCATGGTATGGGGTGGAATAGGC